GTCACAGCGCCGGGGCCCGCCAGCCTGCGGAGAAACCCGGGGAGGGGGGTGCACGAAAACACCCAGGAACCCGCAGCAAGGCATCCCCATCCCGAGCCACAGCTCGGAGCCGAGAGCCCCCTCGGCCACCCTCACCTGCAAAAACCCATTTGGTTTTATTCCTTCCGCGACTCAGATCGCCCGCGGATTAAAGTAACGGCTGAGGCGGGCACTGAAGGTTTACGGTAAGAAAAAAAAAAAAAAAAAAAATTTCCTAGGACGCAACAGAACAAGGCCTGTCAGACAATAAACCCTCCGTGTGCCAGGTGGGAGCAAGCTGCTGCTGCTGCTGCCGCCGCCGCTCACCCTCAACACGCCCGGGGCCAGGCTCCGCGCCGCAGAAGCGACATTCAAAGGAGCGGCGTCCTCCGTTTTACTGCGGGAATTAAACGCCGCAGAGCGTAACAGGCGGGCTGTTCCCTTCTTACTCGTACTAGACCCTCGTCACGCGTTACGACACGATCAGGGCGGCTTAATTTCCATTTCACACCAAATTAGCTCACTTTAAAAGTCTCTTGCATTGCCTGGTTCGATCCGCTACTGGAGGAAAGGGAGAAGTCAAGTTTATGACCTGTTCTCTGAATTAATACCCCGCAGACAAAGGGCTTCGCTTGTTCTCCTGCTGGTGATGATCAAGATACAGCTCTGCCCGCCTGCAGCCACACTGCTGAGAGAGGGCTTTCATTTATTATTCATCCTAAAAGCCATTTAAATTTACACAGCGCCTTTCACGCAGAGGCATCCCGAAGCTCTTTGTAAACCGACGCGTGGGCTATAAGACGAGATCGCTTCATCTCGCTGAAACACGGGCACTTCTGGGATACGGCGCTGGGGAGGAGCAACGTAACGGCAACGGTTTTGTTCGGGAGACAAATGGATCCGGCTGAAGGCGAGGGGAGGAGAGGCAAACCAGCCGTACACGGGGAACGTGGAAGCAAACAGGAGGGATCCAGATCCGAAACGCAACGCTGTAGAGGAATTTCAGCTATTTGGTGACCCCGTTTCTGGCACTGAACCGAGTGGCTTTGCTGCAGCACGCCAAGGAGGGCTCAGCCACAACACAGACCCCCAAATCTACCCAGGGATAACCCCTGGCCGACGAGCTGCGACTCAAGGCATCGGGGGGCTCACCTGGCAGGACCGAGGAACAGTTAAAACTCCTCAGTAACGGAGCAAACGAATAACCTGATCTCTGAGCAAGGTCTGCTGGCAGAGGAGGCGCACAGAAATTTTATTTCCATCTCTTTTACACAGCTCGGCCGAACTCCTGAGGGGAGACAGAGCCCCGAGGAACAGAGCCTGCGACCGGAGCCTAAAGCCGCCCTCCCTTCCCCAGGGTCTGGAAGAGGAGCTGCCGCCGCAGCCACGAGCCCAGGGCGAGTCAGGCGAGGGCACAGCACGAACTCAGGGTGCGTATCCGCGGAGCTCGGCTCCGGCTGTCGGCACGTGCCCGGCTGTTTGAGACTTTAGGTAACGGGGTAAGAAAAGACGCTGCCAGCCCTCGCTGCCCAACGGCCCCTTGCTCCGAGGTCCACGCGACTGAATTACAAGACAGGGATTTTGTTCCAAGTTTGGACTTTTTAGACAGCTGCCAACTTTCAGTTGGTAAAAGTCGGAGCAGCAATGAGCGGGGAGGAAAGGGCGGTCAGGCAACACCCTCCCCGGCTGGCTGAGCATCACCGACACACGTCCCAGCATCTGCCAGCACCAGGGGCCAGGGCGTCTTTCTAGCACGCTGCTCTTCCCGCCCTGCCCAGCGAGCAAACCCCTGGCAGCCTCAGCGGCCTCCTCGAAATTTGCCAAGTTCCTGAAAACGCCTGTGAAGATCAGCTGTCCTTTTTACAAGACGCCTTTGTGTACCGCACCCGGAGCCGAGGCTGAAAACCTCTTCACGGCTAGTTTTTTAAAAAAAAAAAAAACACAAAACCCAAACCAAACCAAAAGCACGACAGCAAAACTCACCTCTGCGAACTGTGTGGAGGGGCTGTCGTCTATGCCGCTGCCATCTAGGAAACTGGAGAGAAACAGGCGAGTGAGAGCAGGTCTCCCTTCCAGAAACCAGCTCCCCTTCTGGGGTCAAGCCCCGTGTGGTCTGAGAGGAGAAAGGGATGAGCAAACACAGCCTGCCTGCGTGAACGCGGCGGAATAATTCCTAGGGACAGAAAAGGACTGTTAAAATTAAAGGGCTTCTTTGCGTGCCAGCACACCACGCACAACCTGACCGTGGAAGAAACCCGGTTTCTAACTCTCTGGACTCTGGAAGAGCCTCCTAGGAGGAGGCATTCGAGATGGAGCATCGTCATTCTGCAAACGGGACCGCGTGCGAAGTGCCCCGCAGGGCCCCTCCCATCTCGCCTTAAGCGACGGGTATACACTTCTGTTCAAGAAGGGGACGCAGCGTGACATTAAGCCCTCTCCTCAGCAACACCCGGCCCCAGATTCCTCCTCTGGCAAGTCTCAGATAGCGAAGGTTCACGTAACCGCTGGTGCCCTTTCGCCTTGCCTACCCCCAACCCAAATAAAGCGGTTTCCTCAGCCGTTACTCAAGAGCGAACACGGTAAGCACTGAACAGGCATCATTTTGGATCCCTCATTCGCCAGCAGCGTGTTCTGCTGGGCGACCAACGACCAAATCCTAGAGAGAAAAGGTATTTCTTTCTCTCTTGGCCCGAGCCGTGAGCTTGGAGAAGCGGTCAGGAGGCTGAGCTGAGGCCAACAGAGGGAAAAAAAACAAAAAAGAAAGGTACCGTGAGTCACTGAGATTCTAGCTTGATTCCTTAAAAAAAATAATGCTTTTTGCTCTAACGGACCAAAGAAACGGGCGCCAAAAACCCGTAAGCGCTTTTGTTCACGGGACCTTGTACAGCCTTAATTCACAACTCCCATCTTCTTGGAAGTCTTCCCCAAACCCCTCCACGTGGCTCTAGCACGGGACCGACGGCCACTTGTATTTTCAGTCTCATCCGGTATTAAGTCCAAAATTCGCGCTAATAGATAAGCTTTTCCTTCGCGTTCCTTATTTTATCCGCGTTGCCCACGGTTTTTAGAGGCTTTACACCAGGCATCTTATAAACCCAGAAGAAACGTAAGCGGGTGGTAAAACACGCGGTGCACCGACGTGTACGTCACCTGGAATCATCTGTGACTTCTTCGATAAAGCCAGATTCACACCTCGGGCAAGTGTACTCCTGTAAAGAGAGAGGAAACTGGTTTTAGCCACCGAGCACTTAGCTTGAGGTTTCGGGAAAAAGACAGAGCTCGAAAGGTTACAGGCCAGGAGTCTCAGGTGGATTCCTGAGCTCCACCTCCCCGCGAAGGCACTCTGGAAGGCCAGCCTCTCGGTTTCATTAGGAGGATGGCCAAAGCCCGGTGGTTACAGCAGATATTATTAACCTCAATTGACAGCTGCGGAACAGAAAAACACCCTTATCGAGATCACGCAAGGTTAGCGGCGGACCGAGGAAAAATAAGTTAAGAAACCCAACGCACCCACAGCCTCAAGCCCGTCCGGATAACGACGTTGAAGAAAAGAGCCATTTACAAGCCTGGCGCGAAGCACCGGGACAAGGCCAGTTCCCCGCCCCGCTGGCGGAAAGCACGGCAACGAAACCGGCGTCAGAAAGCCGACGAGCTGCCGGTAACGCAGCTCCGACGGGGAGCTGGATTTGCTGCCGCTCGCGCCACGGGGAAGACGGCTCTCACGGGGAACTTGCAGAGATGCTCCACCATCATCAGACTTAGAGCATAAATATTTTTTTACTCCTTAGCGTGGCCTCCCAAGGCCACGAAATCCCAATCCAAAAGGCTCAAACGTGCACCCTTCCCACTGCCGGCTCCCTCCGAGCCCGCCCTGCCAGCCGAGGCGCTGCCGGACCAGCAGCAAGGTGCTGGCCACCGGTAAAGCAGGACGGAGGCGGATGGGCTTGCTCTGCGACTGCAAAGCTTTTAAGGACGGGAGAGAGGGAACCGGATAATCCAGAGGCTTCCCTGCTCTGGAATATGCTGCCAGGGCCATCAAAACAGGATCTGCTGCAAGGGGAGGATAAGAAGCAGCCAGGCTGGGTGGACAGGCAGGCGTGCACAGCCAGAGCGCGGGGCACGGAGAAAGAGGCACCTCTGGGTCCACCTCGCAGCCGTCCCCTGAAC